AGACATTGATCTTCTCTTCTTACCACCAGATCGGTCTTCCACCTGTATTGAAGATGGCGGCCAGTAGTTCGCGCTTTGTACGAGCCACAATTACACAAAATGCTGAGGTGTCAAAGCATTGTCCTCTAAGAACCTCAGACAATCCTATTTGTGCTTTTCGGAAACATGCCGGACCTGTTTCTTTGCTCATCTATCAGGAGCTTGCCACTTTCTTGCCATAAGAGGTTGAAATAACTTTGGTTGGTTTGCCTTGTTTGCCTTGTTTGGTTTGCCTTGTGGCACTTCGGAAGTGGCACCACAACGTGAATCGTTGATTCGCTAAACCGCTAATTTATCACACAGGACTATTGTGCTGTTTGGATAGATTATTGCTCCCCATGCTATCTCATTGAATACACGACTAAAAATCCACAAACACGTAACGATCTTCTTCGCATAAAAACACTGGTCTACTACGATGTCGATGAAAAACGTAACTATTTTCCTTAGAAATCGCATAAGTTTCCGTACTTTGTGATTCAGTTAGCAAAATTAAATACGTTGTAACTTTTAGTATTCCTTGCGTGATCCACATGAAAATATTTTAAAATGTGTGGAATTGAATAACGTAAAAAAAGTCACGAAATCATTAGCATAACTTTCAATATTACGTTAAAAACTTCAAAATATACTCATCTAATCCAGGCGTAAAAGGGGATCGCGCTTTGCCTACCCCTCTCCCGTTTGATGCCAGCTACGCAGGCTACGTCTAATCAGTCCATTCTATGACTATGTCTTGAATGCTACTTTAACGTTAGGGGCGCTTACTGGAATAGGGGTGCTTTGGTGCTTTGAAAAAAAAAAAAAAAGAAAAAAAAACGAAAAAAAAAGAAAGCGCACTACAGGGAGCGGGCGCTTTTGGCAAAGAGGGCACTTAATCGAATCATCTCGGGTGCTAGAAATAGTGATAATTAAATCCGCCCTAGTCTATTTCCTCAGGAGTATGGTCAAATTGTTATATTTTGCACTTCGAGTGAGTCCTCGTATGCACATCTCTTAAACTCAGTTGTATCTTAGCTGAGTTTCTCACGCACCTGTTTTTACTGATCTGTATTTAATTGTTTGTTTTATTGCCTTACTAAAGAAAGAATTTAGTGAATTTGGCCAAACAATACACCCTTACAAACTGATTGCGTGCTTTCCTTAACTTGACAGATATACAAAATAGAACATACCTTTGTTCTGCTCACCCTGCCATATAGCCTGCTACGCACACGTTCTTTGGCTTAGTCACGCAATCTTCCTCCCACGCGAACGTCTGCTGAAACAAACAGTACATTTCTGTGGGGAGGAAGATTGCGTAACGTGCCCAAAGAGGGTCTGTGTTGGAGGGTACCTACCATTGAGACGAGTTGTAGTGTTACACGAGCCAACCGCGAGCCCAAGTCAACGTTGAGTCTCTAGTCAACCTCGAGTCAACTATGAGTCAAGCCAGCTGTTTTAATTTCGTTCCGAAAAAGAACAAGATTGAAGGAAATAAAAGATATGAATATAGATTGTCATAGCAGTTAACAACAGGACATTTTGATAACAGACTCACCCCGATCGCGTCGCGCGCCTAAGTAGTCTTACGCAATTGCAAACATAGTGGCAAGTCACGTTATTTGCTGTGTCCATCGCAGATTACCAAGGTAAGATTGTCTTATCCAAATGGTGAGTGACATGAATCTAGTTGACTATCTACTGACAGAAAAGTTGAACGATAACATGCATGCCACGCCTACGCGAGTGGGTTGCCTCTTACCGAAATTATGCCGCGATCGAGGTGAGCCTGTTATGTTTAGCTGCTAAGACAATCCACTCTTTTGGTAATCAATTTCGCGATTTTCGCGATTGTAAATAAATCGCGAATTTAAATACCCGCAAATAAAAATCATCGAGAAATTTAATCACGCAAAATTTAACACCCATTTAGAAAATTCAAATCAAAGAA